CAGGTTAGAGGTCGCGCACGGAGAGGAGGTTTGTGAAGCGCAGGGCAGGGGCTGTCAGGGGGTCACAGGGGAACAGACCAGCCCCGGGGGAGCCGGGGGCACCTTGTCCGGTTTGGGGGGGGGCCGGTCTCGCGTCCCGCGCCGGTTCGCCGCAGTGGCGGCGCGGAGGGAGAGAGAGGAGCAGCGAGCCTGCCTGCCTGCCTCGCAGGGACGCTCCGCGAGCGGTGTGGACATGTCCGTGACGCGTCCGCGCACATCGGCTGCACTGACGGGAGCCGCTCCGGCAGCTGTGAGGGACCGATCCTGCCAATAAAGCTGTCGGAGTTTGAATCTGAATTTGAATTTGATACAGAGAGAGAGAGAGATCCAGAGGGGGAGAGAGAGAGAAGGAGAGAGAGAGATAGAGAGGGGAGAGAGAGAGGAGAGAGAGAGAGATACAGTCGGGGGGGGGAGAGAGAGAGAGAGAGAGAGGGAGGCAGGGGAGCAGCTAACAACCGCAAACCAGCCGAACCGGAGAAGGAGAGCTCAGGACAGCTGGCCGAGAGCCGTCCGGGCGGCTTGAAGGTGGGTCCAGCGCAGGGGCAGGCCAGCCTCCCCGTCATCTTCATCATCCTCACCATCCCCACCATCTTCCCCGTCAGCGCCGGAATGTGTCGTTCGTGTTCTTGGCGTTATTAGCGCCGGTGTGCGTGTGTGTGTGTGTGTGTGTGTCGGGGAGACTGCGTGTCTGTCCGTGCGGGAGTGCTGCAGCGCGGCGCCCTCTCCGCTCTCTGCGGCTGGACCGGCTCGGCGAGGCGCTGCGCGGGCACCGGCGAGCTGTGCGCGTTCGTGAGACTGCGCCGTGCGGGGGGCTGCGTGACTGGGCCAAGGTCTTTGTGTAACTTATCCCCATTGCGGCGTCCTCCCTCCCTCTCTCTCTCCCGAAACTGGGCTGCTCCGGCCCGCAGCGCGCGTGTCCGCCGGGCGGGCTCTCCGCATTACGGCTGCAGGCTCCGTCCGTCTCTGACTCCTCGTGTTGACGGAAGTTTAACGCCTCAACTTGTATTTCACCCTGAAAGCTGTGCCTGTCTGTGTCATGTCTCTCTCTTCATCCTGTCTGTCTCTGTGTCCTGTCTCTCTCTGTGTGTCCTGACTCTCTCCTCACTCTCCCTTCAGTGTGTGACAGCGCTGTGCTCTGTGTGTGT